TGTATGCGTGAACTATTTCGGGACTACCGCACCTCCCCCGAAAGCAGGGGGAGGTGTGCGTAAACCTCGGTTCGCGTGAAAAGTGTATGCGTGAACTATTTCGCCATATATATCAGTCATTTATGCCTTCCAATACTCAAAATAGCTGCTGTATTTTTCAAACTTTTTTTGTTTATAACTTTTTAACGAACAATGACCGAGGGCTAAAACCTTCTGAAGGTCACTCAGAAGGGTGACCTTGACAACATATGTCAAGGGCAAGGTCATCGGAGGGTTGTCCCCTATACTGCATAATTACCGGATCCCCTTTACGACAATCCTACGTTGAGATATCGCGCGAGCTTGCAAGCTCGCTCCCGATTGATCGGCGCGCCCCTACAGAAGGGGGTGCTACATCGATTGCGCAATCGAGCGGATTTAGCGAGACACTCTCTGGTCGTCCGTCGGCGAGTCCGAACACGATTCAAGTTACTTAAGATTCGCGATAGCCGCCCCGAGTCGGGTATTTGTTTCGTCCTGCGACGATCTTTGGTACGAGGTGACGGCGAGAAGCTCTACGAGAAGGCATCGCATCGGTGAGGTTGCCCGCAAGTACTTAATGCCGACATGTAAAGCCACGACGCCGCCCTCCGGTGCGCGCTCTCGTTCGGGAAAACGTTTGTAATATCGCGACACGTACGGTTTCTTGAGACCGAGTATCGAACTCGAGATGGTATCGTGGCCGCGGAATTGAGATAAAGACGTGATAGCGAGCCTCTGGAGATCGCGATAGATTCGTGGCGAAATCCGGGGATGCGAGTCCGTTTTTGTGTAATGTCCGCGCTCGTGGTTGCGTCTCGCGCATACAGTGTTCACGGCGTATCGAATTACCAAACATTACTTATGTTGGAATGTCGTCCGCGTCGGCACATTAATCGCGTTAACCTGCCGTTTACGTGGGCTCATTGCCGTAGAAAATTATGCGTGTTAGGATAATTATGTTCGGATGCGTTGTTCCGATGATTGCGTGTAAGAAGTAGTCGTGCTGGCGGGAGAACGTTATTTGCGTAATTTACTCCATTCTCGCGATAGGCTCAGTGCCGTCGTGATTGCGTGTTATTATTGCTCGCGGTAATTCCGCATATTTTGCCCCGCGTGCGTTCCAGTATTCTGCGCGTTACAAAAATTACTGAAGACAGAGTATTGTATTCGTCCGAATGACTTGCGTTACCCTTGGTTATTTCTCGCATTAGATTAAGTCCGTATTTTTGCGTTAGTTAGAGTATTCCGCATCTCTGTGCGATTGCGCCGAAATCTATCTCGCGTTATTGCGTTGAGCTCGGTCCTCATTACGTTGAGACGTGGCTTGCGCCCCCGATTCCTACTTGCGTTAGGCTTAAGATAATTTGCGACAGAATTCTCGTGCGACTTTGTACGTGGCGTTCACGCACTCCGAGCGTGACATACCGTCCTCTCGCGATCTTTCCTGCGGGACCATATTTTCTATTTCCTTGATTATTTCGTGTTTACTGTCGATGTTCCATATTAATTATTAGTTTCATCCTACGGTATTTCTCTGATCTAAGCGCAGCGCATTCTGCGCGTTTGCTATACGATAACGTAATACTCCGTTCATTTCTGGCGTCTGCGCTATCATTATTTTATTTGTTTCATTTCTGACGCTCGCGTGATTGACTATTTGATTTGTTCGATTGACTGAAGCCAAATTGGCATTTATTATTTCACCCGCAAATTACTAAAAAATAAATGTTATTTTTGAATTGTTAATCGCTTGAGTTTGTGACCTTATTTATTGTGTGTCACCCCGCCAGATATCGCGCCGCCCTTCATCACCCCGCCCATCCCTTAGGTCAAGCTAGCCGATTCCTCGCACATCCACACGTTTTGTCTGGCGTCTCGTTTGGTTTTCTTTTGCGATTTCGCGGACGCGAATTTACGCGTCTGGCGCCCAACAGCAAAATCGTTTCGCAAAGTGTCGGAGGTGCGAGGGAATCGTAGGAGAGGCCTATCATCCCGCTCTCCTTTATCCTTTTGATCCGGCACACGTCCCGGCGCGGTCCGGGAGTGCAAAAAGCCGTGATAGTACATACTCACGACGTGAAAATACCTTCTCACATGAAATTGCACGCGTATCGAAGCATATTTAGAGCCTGTGCTCTGTCTCTAACCAGTGGGAAATAGTAATCGAATTGATGTCGAAAGTATGTCAAATTGATGGCAAAGGGTTCAAATCGACATCGATTCGACATCGTTTCAACATCGATTTAATTGCGTACATCATGCATGATTCTTAATTATTCGGCAAAGTTGTCCCAATATATTTTAAGAATATGTTATAATAATATATTTTAAATATTTATAATATTACGTGTTTCTTTTTTTTATTAATGGATTCAGTTTGTATTCATTCTTTTATTGTTAAAAATAAAATTATTAATTTATTTATTACATTAAATCTATACAAGGACAGATATAAGTCGGTAACATAAGACAGATATAGGTCGGTAACATAATTTTGTCGGTTATACAGACGGCTCCAGCATCACCTTAAGCGCGATCAAGACCGCGCTCTTCATCACAGTCTGCCTCGATGTTGTCTTCAGTTTTTTCGTCTGCCATTTAGCACATAGCTTCGTTAACAGTTTAGTAATTATTACCAATAATTTTTAATCATGAGGCTAATCATTTTTTTTTCACAAAAGTTAACGCCGTTTTGTTGCAGTCTGCCGGCCCTTTCTCTTTCACGAAATTGTCTGCCAATAATTTTCCGCTTTTCGTAGCAACAAATACTTAATATTCTTATAATTTTTATCCTTGAGCTTTATCATTTTTTTCCTTGTAAAATTTGTCATTTTTGACCGTCCACCCCCGCCTTAATTTTCCTAAGCGCGCAGGCAGACTGGTCATTCAGTGTTCGGGAGTGCTAATGGAACCTCTCTAGCTATAAATATTTCATGTACCTTATTATACCTTGCATTTTTATGTAGCCAGCTCTTAGACTAATACGCAAGAGCAGCGAACGCGAATTTTCGCAGTCCGCGGGAAAACATCATCGCCGTCGAATGTCGCGAAGTAAATTTTTTTTCATCAGTGGTCCGCGCGGCGCGAATATCGACGCGTCGCGGCGCGCGGAAATTGTTCGCAAAAATGCGCCGCCGCCGCGAGTGACGACGACGACGACGACGACGACGACGACGACGACGACGAGTGACACAGGTACAATATATGTGATAAAAAATATTTTTTAAGTGCTGTTTCATTCCATACCTCATGGGAGTGCCCGTCGGGTGGACGGGGTGAGGAAGCGGAACGCGCGGGAAAAGCGGTTAGTGAGGTTAGGATAGCGTTCAGAGCGAACATGTGATCGCTTCTACTTTCCTCCCTAGGGAGGAAAGTAAAGCGGTGCGGTACCCCTCTGCCGACGCCATCCCCTCTCCGACCGCTTACGCCATTCCCCG